AAAAAAAAAAAAAAAAAAAAAGGGATGGAAATTTAAATATTGATCGAACGTTTTTGCCTGTCGACAGTAAAAAGGAAAAAAAAAGAACCGTTAAAAAGCTGCAGACGGTTTTTCATTCGAATATTTGTTTCTGCATATTTCCGTAGTTTCGGAGAAATTTGTCCGACATTTTTTTTCGAAAAGGAGTTTATCTTTTTTGTTTATTCCAGCATGTACGTGAAGAACGATAAATTATTCAGTCGACACTTTGTACGATTCATTCAACCAGCTGAATAATTAAGTTCCAAAATAGTAAGGAAAGTTGGCCCGCAGTCCAGACGCAGAAGCAATAAACGCTTCGTGGAAATTTTTAACTTCAAGTTAATTTAACTTTCAAATTGATCCTATCAAAATTTCTTACCGACCGTCGAGAAATGAACAGAGCGAGTAACTTCTTCCATGCTTATTTAAAGATATTTCCTGTACAAATAGTACCCTGAAGCAAGTGTTTTCATTAAAATTCGTGCGTATGAAACATTCGCAGAGACGTTCCTAACGACAGTCAAGCCAAGGTGTTTGACCGATAAGCAAATCATAAGGTTTAATTCAAACGAGAGACTGTACGCACGTATACACGAGAATCACAGGATTCAAGTTTAACAATCTTAAATAGAAGCAACACTCGTACCATAGACTGCAAAAAAGTATTTTTTTTCAATCGATCACGTTACGTTAATAATAGAAAAGGAAAAGTAGGAAAAGAAATAAAAGTTTCGCAAAAGTGAAATGACTAATCCGCAGGTGAAAATTCACTCGGAAGACGTCGGAAGAAATTCCGAGGCGATGGCAGAATGATAGAAACTGATTAGAACGTTCGAAAAACCAGGCTCTCGTCATCCCCGATTTATTAGGTTCTGGCCCGTGTTACATTAGGAAAATTCGTTCCATTAGGAAGATTGCACGGACGGAAAAGGACAAAATCGAAACGGCACCGTCCTCACCGGCGTTGGATAACCGATCGCTAATTGCTTTTGTCATACCGATAATTAATAATGCATCGATCGTTACGGCGTGGCGATGAGTGGCCGGCGAATTAAATGCGTTAACGACGATAATCGGGTTGCGGTGAATGGTAAATCGAAAATACACCGGGACGGGAGTTATTGAATGCAAACGAGGCTACGATCCATCATCCGGCTGAACTACTAGCTTTCCACGGCGGAGCCAGCGTTCACCGCCACTACTGGCGGCCGTCGCTGGACCTAGTGTCAACGACTCGTCATTCAATCTGTATGTTCTACACGGGACCCTAGGTTTCGAGCGTGCACGATGTCAAAATGATTTCTTTGACTACTTTCTGATCATTCTGAATATCAATGACACAATTTGAATTCTTTTCTTTCTGAATTTCAAGTAATAAACGTGAGTGATTTTGACTATTGCCGCTCATTCGTCTTTTTTGAAAATGGCGGATTAAAGAAGATCGAGGCTCAACGCGCTCAATATGGCGACACGAGGAATGTAACAATTGTCGATCGGACAGTTGTTGGCAGACTAGTTTTATGCTTCTTCTGAATCGTTTCGAAATTTGAATTTTCTTTTGCAAAGATATTTTTCGTTTCTGACGGTGTTGAAAGAGGGACATTGGACTCGTGGATCGCGTTAATGGTTCTACAGACGTTGCGAAGAATTTCCAAGAGTGTCGAAGAAAGTCGAGGATCCACTGTCCCTCGTTTTCAAAAAAAAAAAAAAAAAAAAAAGAAACGAGAAGAATGATGTCTAACGAAACGTATGGCAATGTAACAGCGACGAGAGATGAATGATGGTCGGTTTGATTTGCAGAAGAGGCACCGGAAGAGGTGACGAACAATGCTAGGGAAAACTGTGTTGATACTGTGCGGCGTGTTGACGATATCGCAGTGCTGCTACGTTTTTCCAAAAGGTACTTCAACGCAAATAACGAGCGGAACGACGACGTTTCAGCCTCTCCATGCTCTCCTCTCCGGTTAACGGGACTGGATTCGCGTTCGTCTGAAGCTCTGTAACGAAGATCGGGAAGAATGACGAACGCGAAGTTCACAAACTTGAGAGTATCCCGCGAAATGGAATATTCAAGAGTAATTTCGCGAGTCGATTCCTCATTCACGGCCAGGGACGGAACAAAACAGATTGTAAAATAATTGAACGAGAGATTCTGTAAATTCGACCGAGAGCATTTCCTTGTTATATAAACAAGGGAAGACGGATGGAGAAACATCCTTCTCTTTCTAAATTTATTCTTCGACGCAAGTTGTTTGGTCTTTCTTACTTCTGCGTTATCCATTTTCATCGGGGTAGCCTCTCGCGGGTTTTCTTCCTCCGATCGTGCAACTTGCAGTTACTTTTAACCAATACCAATTTCATACAAAAAGTAGAGTGAATGATTCGAATATCGAGTAGATCAGATTCGTCAAATGTAAGAATATATTATTCGTAGATGATACATCGTGCAGTGTAATAATGTACAGGGTATCGTGTTTTAATCTTCCAGGGAAAATATTTGAAAAGATGCAAAATATATGAAAAAGTATGCATGTATTCTTTTTATTTTTTTTCTTTTTTTGGCGTATCACTAGCATGATCTCATATAGCTTTTTTTCTAAAGTAGTTTTTCATCTACTTTTCCTTAGAAGATTAAAACGGGACGTTACCTGTATAATACGGAAATCTATTTCTAGAAACCAAATGTACCATCCTTTTGAAAAAAGCCATCTTTTACTTCCACTTTCGCGTTCGCTCCAGCGGAAAAACAAGCTACTCCTATCTCCTTCTCTGTCTCCGTACTCGTGTCCCGTGTCGTTTACTCAGAAAGAGGGTCACGATATCATTGGCACAGCGAGCGAAAAGAATGTTTTAATTGGGCTTACGGCTCTCCGTTCCGGGGATGGTTCCATTAAAAATTTTCACCGGCTTAGCCGCGGCTGAATATTCGCGGACGGCTTTTATCTGTTCAAATCCCGGGAAGAAAGGAGAAGCGAGGGTCGACGCGCGCACGGTCACGGTTCGTACGCTGTATTTTATCGCGCCACAACCAAATCCCACCCCCTTCCCCGTAGACGATACTTTGTTCATCGTGAATCGCGCGGATTTAATTTCACGCTGCTTTACGACGCGCGCCCGTGTTTACGGTTAGTAATTACATTTGATGCCTGTGCGATCGCGTTACCGATGAAAAAAAAAAAATTATTGATCAAACCCCGCCAGCCTTCCTGCGTCCTTCCTGTACTTTCGAACCGACGTAGAAGTTTCGAAAAAAAAAAAACTCGTATTACTTACGAATCTTGGAACACCTCAGTTTCTGAATTTGGACACAAATTCCCGAGTCTCGCATGAAACGGACGCGTTGCAAGCGTTTCTACCTTCGAACGAGAGCCACGAAAGAAAAATTGAAATATCGAGGCTTTCGAAAACTTGACCTCATCTCCGACGGTTTTCCTTCCCCGCGGAGGATCGTAACACGTAAACGTTCGAGATAAATTTGATTCGAGAGTCGGACAGTGTCTCTTCGATCGACTTTCGGGTCGGAACGATCGTTAATTTAAACGACGCGACGAATTTTTGTGTTACAGAAATCCCGGACCCATGCGCGAAGCAGAATTGCACCCAGGGTGCGCAATGCGTGCGAAGCAGAGACGGCAAGGAAGCCACCTGCGAGTGCCTGGAATCCTGTCCGAATTTAGGGGATCACGAGGGATCGAGCCCTGTCTGCGGCACAGATGGGACCGACTATCCGTCTCTCTGCGAGCTGAACAGAGCAGCCTGCGCGAAGGGTGCTAATATCACTGTAGCATTTCAAGGGAAATGCGGTGAGTATTTCTCTTTCCGTTGCAACGCCAAACATTTATCTTCCGCTCCCTCCCCCGTGAAGTTAGAAAGCCAACAGATATACAGCATGTTGTATATCTGATAAGTAGACTGCGGATTTTTGTGCGCTCGAAAAAACATGGAATGTAAAAATATACGAAATACACTCTTATTTAATGAACTTTCTGGCCAAGTTCCATTGTTTTCAATATAAATTTGTATGAATATCAACAGTCTATTAATAAGTGTGATAAATTCACGGAGGAAGAGATTCTTTGTCGTCCTAAGTTAGAAAGCCAACAACAGCATGTCGTATACCTGATAAGTAGACTGCGGATTTTTGTGCGCTCGAAAAAACATGGAATGTAAAAATATACGAAATACACTCTTATTTAATGAACTTTCTGGCCAAGTTCCATTGTTTTCAATATAAATTTGTATGAATATCAACAGTCTATTAATAAGTGTGATAAATTCGCGGAGGAAAAAGAGATTCTTTGTCGTCTTAAGTTAGAAAGCCAACAATAGCATGTCGTATACCTGATAAGTAGACTGCTGATTTTTGTATGCTTGAAAAACGTGAAATTTAAAAATATACTTTTGACAATGTTTAATTTAAGTATCTGTTCAACAGAGAAGATACGCCAATTTCTATCATTTGTGCAAAGTTCAATTGACAGTTAAACATAATATTGTCCAGTGCAGAAAGGTACATCGCGAATAGACAACTACATATAAGTAGACTTTCCTGAACCTAAATGACAACCTAAATGATATAGAAGCAGTCCTGAAATTAACACATTTTCCAAGATAGTCCAATCTTTATAATAAGTTGTAAGATTTGGTTCCAAGTCGGTAATAAGTCACACAAGTGGTTGATTTGACTATTAAGAAATAATGAAAGTAAAAAAAAATTATTTAATGAACTTTTTGACCAAGTTCTATTTTTTTAATAATTTTTTGTGTAATAAATTCGCTCCAGAAAGGGACTGTTCATCGTTGTATTTAATTTCCACCATTCGTGTCGGAATTCGAATTTCTCCTGTCGCGGAATAATTGTAGACGACATTGTTAAATGTCGTGGAAGCAAAAACTATCGATCGACGAAAGGAACGAACGAATGGCAGTGAACGTTTGAGAGATGCATGGCTAAGGAACTCGCGTTTCCTCGCCGACGTTATTTATCGAGAGGGAAAGCGTGCTCGGACTGCGAGAGAATCCAGCAACGAGACTAGTAGTGGAAACAAATATTTGCCGAATCGAAGTCGAGCGGGGCTTAAATATCGGGGGTTTTGTCAGTACGTATTTACCCGCGTTTTTATGCACGCGATCGAGATTATTTCCGGGCAGACTCGCTCGCGTTTACATTTGCAAAAATTTTACGTGCCTCTGTGTATTTTACGATATCCTAAGCGGTTCCTTATCTGCGAAATCCGTCACCGTGAAATTAGTGTATCTCGCTTCGAGGAAAATCGATCTCGTTCGTTTGTTTATATTTTGCATCGATGGAAGAAAATTTCATACGCTTGATATACAGAAGATATAAAAGTATAAGAATATTGAATCGAGGTAGTTCTAATAATTATCTGAATTGATAAACAGTCTAGACGTAGTTGACGTATGAGAATCTGAATACGCTTTCAATAGTTTTCCAATTTACGATATTGATCGGACAATAAGTTTTATCTATTTCCATTATTCTTGTTTATTTGTCGCCGGGAGGTAGAAAGTTCGAAGAACATGGCTGATATGACCAATCAGATTGCTTCATTTCCATCCCGCAACTCACGGATTGAACGCCGACTGCATTTTCATTTATCCTTATCTGTATCTTCCGCCAATAAACTTTCTATCGTTTCAATAACACAACACGCGCCTTCTCTTCTGTTCAACGAACGGTAATCCTCGACAATCGCTGATTAAACGCAACAGATTGAAGGCACGGTGTCATTCAGCCGCGGAATAAAAGCCTTAAGTCCTGAAATGAACCTTAATTTTCTCGGTGAGCACGTGCACGCGGGCCCAGTGAAATTAATCAGCGGCCCCTTGTGTACGACGCTCGAGAAACAGCGAAATAAAACGAATGATTCTCAGCAAAAAGAAAACTGGGAAACTTGAACTGATCGCGAAAGAAGCCGAGAGGATGCAACGTGAAATTGCCGAAAATCCGCAACGCCCTCCATGAGCGACGAGAGGACAGTGATAAATTAAGAGGGCGCGAACAGCATAGGCAACCGGCGCGCCTAACTCGCCCAAGCTAAATCTTTTCACACGCGTTCCTCGCCGAGAAAGAGAAAGCGTAGGTCGAGCAAGTAAATTCGAAAGTTATCGATAGCTAGTCAGATGAAACGCGATCGATTGCATCGAGCCTTTTCCAGCTTTCTCGAGTATAAGAATCGAGTTTTTCATCTTTCTCAACTCGTTTCTCAAGTTCGCTTCGAATTAAAAGCGACTAACCGGGAAGGGAAAAAGGAGAAGCTTCTTCATACCGCGAACGTGCTTCTCCTTTTCTTTTGTCAGTGCTCGTTTTCAATTGTCAGTGTTCGTCTCCTTATACTCATCGGTTTCGTTTCCCCGTCTAATTTTCCCTCTGTTCTTGTATCCTTTGCACGTCGTGTTATTTGTGCTTCTTCTCTTTGATACGGCCAGCGAGCGAGACTTTTCCGTTTCTTTTACCCCTGCAGCTCCGTCTCGCGCTCTTAACTTCAACCACGCGCGTTTCTTCGTTTATAATTTTCTTCGAGCACGATACGATCTTATTCGCGGAGCCTTCCCATTTGTACGCAGCTTTCTGCTCGATCAAGCAATTTCTGGCTCCTCCTGAGCCAGACATCCCTGAGACCGAGAGAAAATTGTATCACGTTTTTATTATTACCTTTCATTTATAAAACAACGTAACGATGCATGTTCACCGGTACATTGAAGAACATCCATTGTGGATTGCAAAAGTTAATCAACATTGTTCTTTCGCTTCCCGCAGAAGACTCCTCTCATTTCAATTTCCAGCATTCGAGATCATCTTCTTTTTTTTCTCTTCGAGTCTCTCTCTGATTTTATATTGACCAACTCTCTTCTTCTCCGCCCTCTGTTCATCCAGTCGCTCGCCTTTCACCTTTGCCAATCATTTCCTCTTTCCTTTTTATCTTCTCCGTGTATCTCGCTAGTCGCAGTTCCGCTCCCCTCTTTCTCTCTCTCTCTCTCTCTCTCTCTCTCTCTTTCGCCTCCCTCAGCGTTGTCAGAATCCGCGCGATCGAGTTTCCGCCCGTCGGATTTCTTACTCGGCTGTTTATCCCCGATCCAACCCCGGTCGCCTCTCGTGTCCTCTCGACCGAAGGCTCGAACGCAGTATAAACTCGGCGGGGCGTTTAATCAACCGAGTAGTAAAGACAAATGTTTGATCAGACAGGTAGTTGCGAGGAAAGGTGGCGACGTTTACTTAAGATTAGGCGAGTCCATTCGTCGATGCTTCGTCTGCTCGCATCCATCCCCGTTGCTTCTTTCTTCGCGCGAGACGCGTAATTGGCAATCGGTTAGCGATCGATTAACGAATGTCCGGAAACATCGACGCAATTTTTACTTCTCCACGCGGGATCTCTTCCTCGACATGCGCAGCTGTTTCATTGAAATCAAGGGATAGAAAATGGCCTATTAAACAGAGAGTGAAGATTATTGAAAGATGTCGCGTGATTGCAGAAGATTTGGGCAGTTTGATGCGAAACAATTCGTATTTGATTGCTCCAACGTAAGTTAGGCCTGTTGCGGACGATCGGTTGACGATTGATTCGCGATTTGCATTCGCTTTCGTATCTAGAAAATTATTTTTTAAATCCAGGAGGATTTCCGCTTCGACACGCAGTTGTCTTTATTGAAATCGAGGAATACAAAATGGCCTGTTGAACAGAGAATGAAGATTATTAAAAAATATTACGTGATTACTAGTATTTAAAAAAGTTGCTTTCAAGTCCAAGTTGCCGCAAACTTAATAAATAAATGTCAGAACGAAACAAATTCAGTGGGGCAAAGGCGACATACAGCGTTAAGGAAAATTAACGTAAAGGAAAACTGGACGTGTAAAGCACGTCAAAGGATTCTGTTGTTATTTCGTTAGGTGTAATAACCGAGAACAACGAGACGTAACGACGAGGGACAAAGACTGGTCGCAAAGATTGGGCAGAACCGTCGGGGTCAAAGGAGGACCACCTCGCCCCATTCTTCCCGGTTCGATTCTCATCGAAGTGAAAGTCACGATGGAGGATGAAATCGAAGAAAAAGGAGAAAGACAGAGTCAAGGGTGTCCTTTATCAATCGCATTCAGTCGGTCGCCGATGGTGAGATGGCGGAATCAATAATAAATTCCGTCAGGAGGGTGGGCCGTCGATCGTGGCCGCTCGTTTCGAGCTAACCCAGCCCCCATTCCTGACCCCTCCTAATTTTCTTCGGCAACGAGGACGCCAAGTCAGAGGGTGGAACGAGCCGGGTCGCGAATCTCAAGTAGCTGCGACGATAAATCAAATTAGCTCGAAACTTTCGAGACTTTTCAATCGTCACCCTCTCTTCGCTTCCGTCCCGCGCCACCCGCCGTTGTGCCTCTCTCGTTCTCCACTGTCAGAGACGGTTGGCCCGAGGGTAAATTGAAAAAAAAAGAGGAGGGTGGGGGGAAATGAGTTTTCGAGACAGACGAACTTTTTCAATGATTGAAAGTAGCAGAGCAACGGCAGAGCAAAAAAGAGGGCCGCGAAACGCGATAAAGCATGGAAGCTGGATCTCGCGATTAAAAGTATGCCAATTTCTCTCTCTCTCTCTTTTTCTCAGTGTTAATGTTATTGAACTATAGGGCAGACGCTGGAAGGGACAGTGGAGTGTACGGAAATCTCGAAGGAAACTTTGTAAAAGCATCATGCAGTTGAAAAAAAATTAATCTTTTCCGACTGTGTGCGAGAAAGAGAGAGAAAGAGACTCACGATTGGAAGCTCGTGAATAAAGGAGAAATCGTTTCCTTCCGAGCGACAAATGACACGTTTAGAATTTCACAGGAAATTAGTTATTAGATTGTGAAAAATTTTTAATACTAAAATTACA